TTTGGGGTTTGGGGTTTGGGGTTTGGGGTTTGGGGTTTAGGGCCAAGGGAGCCATCGGCATCGGGTTCCGTGCTTTTGGGTGCAAGGTTGAGAGTTTAGGGCTTGAGGGGGTAGGTGTTTGGGGAAGAGGGTTTGTGAGGCTTACTGAAGGGTTTAGGCCTTCTAAGATTTAAGGGCTTAAAGATTCAGAGCGTGAGACCTGACCCCAACGCTGGAAGTAGCGTTGCCATAATATAGGGTGCTATGACCCTTATGCTCATTTCTGGGCCCAACAACCATCTGAGGATGCCTGGTAGTATCCATGCCGCAAAAGCCCTAAACCCTAAACCCTAAAGCCTAAAGCCTAAACCCTAAACCCCAAACGCCAAACGCTAAACCCTAAACCCTAAACCCTAAACCCTAAACCCCAAACCCCAAACCCCAAACCCTAAACCCTAAACCTTAAACCCTAAACCCTACCTGCTGCAGATGGAGCACCACCTCCAAGAAGAGAACGAAGACGCTGAGAAGCATCATGAGCCCCACACCGCCAATGGCTGCCCTGATGGTGAGGTCCACTAGGGCCTGTCTCACAACAAGACCCGGAACCCTGAACCCTAAACCCTTTTCCCTGAACCCTGAACCCCGAAACCGGTGAGGGCTGTGTGATGGTGGTCCGCGCGGAGCACTTTTTGCGACATCTTAACCAGCTGTTGTGGGCCCTGAACCCTGAACCCTAAACCCTAACCCCTAAGCTCTTCCAGTAGCAAAGGGCCTGCAGCCACTTAGCAGGACGAAGCCTCAAGGCTCTCTCTCTCTCTCTCTCTCTTGTCCGGGTGAAGGTTCTACAGGGTCTAACCTACGTAGGGTTTAGGGCTGAGGGCTCAGGGCTCAGGGTTCATAACCCCTTATCATTCCCCCCCTCCCCCCTTGGGTCGAACTAAACCCCGTTGTACCCTCTTTCCATCCCGTAAATCGCCAACCTCTGAAACCCCCCGACACCCCCTCTATACCCCCCACTATGCCCCCTTATACCCCCTTTATACCCCCTTTATACCCCCTTTATACCCCCCCTATACCCCCTTATACCCCCGTATACCCCTCAACCCAAACTCTCCAGAAGGTGAACCAAGGGTCTCTGAGGATCTGAACTCGGGGCTCCCTTTCGCCCTTACAAGCTCTAAAGAATGTGGTGGGGTTGGGGTTTTAAGGGCTTCAGGGGGTTTGAAGCTTTCAGGGTTTAAGGGCTTAAGGCTTTAGAGGTTTAGGGCTCTAGGGGGCATAATTGACATCGGGCACATCATCGAGATCAAGCTCCACGTGTGCTCATTCTCAGCCCTATAGACCGTAGGCCACGCTTGTGAGACATGCCAACCCCACGTAGACTGGGGAACGACAGGGTCAACTCGATCCCATCGACTTCGCCCAAGATGCACTTGCGGTTTAGGAGTTGACCTCTCACGAAGCCTTAAAAACCAGAAAGGCCTAGAAGCCCAAAGCACTGGCCCTAGCCCGTGCAGCCCTCAAAAGCACTCGAGACTTTAGAGCCCCAAAACACGAAACCCAAGCCCTAAGTCCTGAACCCTAAACCCTAAACCCTAAAGCCCGTAAACCTCCTCTCATGCCTCCTAAACCATCCAATCGATAAACTCCACCCCAACCCCTAAACCCTAAACCCTAAACCCCAAACCCCAAGCCCCAAACCCTAAACCCTAAACCCTAAACCCTAAACCCTAGACCCTAGACCCTAAACCCTAAACAACCCTTAAAAATCCACGCACCACACCGAGCTCGATGGCTGAGTTGCCCTGCGGCCCCGCTTGCAACGCGCGACATGGGAAATGAAGGAAGAAGATGGTCACTTCAGGGAGTTAAGGGTTTAGGGTTTAGGGTGCAGATACCCTAAACCCTAAACCCTAAACCCTAAACCCTAAACCCTAAACCCTAAACCCTAAACCCTAGACCCTAGACCCTAGACCCTAAACCCTAAACCCTAAGCCAGTTTAGGGTTTAGGGTGCAGATCTTCATCTTGGAAGATATTCTCAGTAATATGCAAGGTTTGTTCATCAATTCTTGCGGGCTCCTGAAGTGCCTACAACTTTGTCTCACTTTTGTGAGCAAAATCTTCTCATGGAGGATGATGTGCAAGTTCTGAGGACTTGCAGGGGTTGCGGCCCTAAACCCAAGAAAAAAACAAACCCGGTGCTGGCATCTTCTTCACGGCATCTCCGTCGTCTCATCTTAGGATGGGCACGCTCTCTCGACATCGCTGCAGAAGTGCATCACACAGGGGTGCGAAGCCCTGAAAGTTAGGATGCCCAGTAGTACCCTTATTCCCTTTTTGGAGGGTTTAGGTTCCCTTATAAACCCCTTTAAGCAAAAAAGGGCACCCTTTTTAAGCCGAGGTTACTGGGCAGCCTAGAAAGCCTAGGCACTGAATGCTTATCGAGCTGATCGCAAGCGATGTGTCGTGCAGAGATGTCGAGCCCGTGTGTGGCAACACTTAAAGCTGCAGAGCTTGCAGCATCTTCACGGTGAGCAAGTGCACTCGGGATCTCCACAATCTTAGAGACTCCATGGTGCCCCACAACCTGGCCCCCAAGAAACCTAAGCTCTTCTGAACGAAGTGTAAACATAGCCATTTTACCATGGTACGATTGTAAAGGATGTAGTAAAGTCTCCTTCTTGTGTAGCTCAGTTTAAGTTCCTTAGCAAGGCCTAGCGAACCCCGAACCCCAAGGCTCCCGCTATCTCCGTTACAGTTTCTGCAGGGTCTTTAGAAGGCAGTGGGGTATCAGGTAGTGGGGTGGTACCGCAGAGTCTCCACTACATAAACGAGCTTGCTATGGCAATCACTATTTCTTTCCTGCGACTTGAGGGTCTCATGGGTAGTTCCAAGTAGGGCTTTTTTTAGCAAGGTAATCTATATCATAACCTTGATTGGGGCACTTAAAACCCTACTTATAGCTACTTCTTTCCCGATTGAAGCCCTAAATTTCTAATTTCCTGAGCTCAAGAGCCCAGGCCACCATATCCGAAGCCCCACCATGACACCCTAAACCCTAAACCCTAAACCCTAAACCCTAAACCCTAAACCCTAAACCCTAAACCCTAAACCCTAAACCGCCTAGACCCTTAAACCCCTAAGCCTTGATATCCGCGTTTGCCTGGCTTCAGCCCAGCATCGTTGGGCGTTTCAGCTGGTGGGGATGGCCTGCAGGTCCCAGGTTAAGAGTTTAGGGTTTAGGGTTTAGGGTTTAGGATTTAGGGTTTAGGGTTTAGGATTTAGGGTTTAGGGTTAGGACTTCGGGTTTAGGGTTTAGGATGTAGGGTTTAGGGTTTAGGGTTTAGGGTTTAGGGTTTTCGGTTTAGGATTTAGGGTTTAGGGTTAGGACCTCGGGTTTAGGGTTTAGGCTGTAGGGTTTACCGTTTGGACTTATAGGATTTAGGGTTTAGGGTTCAGGGTTTTTGGTTCAAGGTTCAGCTCAGGCAGGCCCTTGGGGCATTGTTATATTCCCCTTCGTTGGCTTCACGATCCCCAAGACACCAAGGACCCTGAACCCCAAACCCTAAACCCTAGGACTTGGACCCTTGAGCCCCCACAACCAAGCCCCAACAGCGTGTTGAGGGAGCACCCCCCCCCCCCCCCCCCAAACCCTAAACCCGAAACCCCAAACCCCAAACCCCAAACCCGAAACCCGAAACCCTAAACCCTAAACCCTAAACCTTAAACCCTAAACCCTAAACCCCCCAAAGCACCTGAAACGCCCAGCACGTCGCCGCCAGCCGAACTCCGACCGTTGTGTGGGTCTCTTCACGCTGGCCAAAACCATTAAAAAAGCTCTATTTAAGCCCTAAACCCTAACCCTAAACCCTAGCCCCAAACCCGAAACCCTAAACCCTGGTCAAGGGGTGAGGAGGGCGCAGTCGCCCCAAGATGCCCCAAGCCCCGCACGCCGAAGTCTGGCTTCAGGTTTTTGTGTTCTAGGGATTTCCCCTCTTGAACCACTAGGGCGGTTAAGGGGTTTAGGGTTTCGGGTTTAGGGTTTGGGGCGTTTTGGGGTCAGGAGGTGGGGGGATTTGCAGATCTGAGGTCTTGTCTCTTTCGGGGGCCCTATGCAAGAAGGACTGTCATGGAAGAGAGACAACCCCTTAACCCTGCGCAGTCCCCCAGAGGCCCAGAGGCGCGGAGAACTTTGTAAGTAGCTTAGGGTTAAAACGGTTTAGGTCTTCGGGTTTAGGGTCTAGAGTTTAGGGTTTGGGGTTTCGGATTTAGGGTTTAGGGTGAAGGGGCTATCATCTGCGCCCCCGTATTTAGTAATCTCTGCAAACCTACTCTGGCCCTGAGATTGAAGATCCCTGGAGCACCCAAAGCCCTAGACTCCCAAGACGCTTAGGCTCAGCGACCCTAATCCCAAAACCCTACTATGGCTGACGAACTTATGTCTGACCCTTCCTAATCCTAAGGCCCAAACCCTAAACCCTAAACCCTAAGCCCTAAGCCCTAAACCCTAAACCCTACACCCTAACGGGCTTCCGGCTTTGGGCTTTGCAGGGCCGCCTTCGCCTCTTCATCTCCACCATCCCCTGCGTCTCCTGCATTGGGGTCGCGGCCCTGGGAGGTTCAGGGTTTCGGGTGTGGGGTTTGAGGTTGTCTTCAAAGGGAGAAAGGTACCTAGAAAACCTGATAGATTTGGGGAAATGTGGGGAGTGTCTGCGGGACCCTGGACCCTCTCCCTTAAGGACCCCTGGGGCCTTGGGGTTTCGGGTTTAAGGTTGACCCCTGTAATTGCGGCTGTGGTGCTGGGGTGTGGTGCTGGGGTGTACGGGGCAGAGAAATCGTGGCCGTCTCTCAACTTGTCCTGCGGCAATGGCAGCCCTCGCGAAGCCTGACCCTCAAAATTCAGTCGGGAAGCTTGTTGACCCTAAGCCCTAAACCCTAAATCCTATATTAAACGAAAAAACCAAACCCTATCCATCTATGGGAGTAGCTGCAGCCAGCCGCTGTGTGTAACTGGCCATGGCTCTGGTTGTGGACCTGTGCGCAGAGGAGGAAGCGGCCGATGAGGCGCAGGGGCTTGGGGTTTAGGGCTTAGCATTTGGGGGTTTCCGAAATTAGGTACCGTACTGGGGTCCGTGTTAGAAGGGAATCCTAAATGGGGGGTCTAGTTTTGGAGTCCCCTATTTTCGTCCACCATCCTTTCGGGTGTAGGGGTTTAGGGTTTACGGGTTTAAGGTTTTGGGTTTACAGGGCACAGGGCTAATAAGTTTGTAAGGTTCAGAGGGCACTAAAAAGCACCTTGAAAAGATTTGCCTAGGGTCGAGGGGGCCCCGAAACTCACCAGGGTTTCGGGTTTAGGCTAATGGCTAGGTAGGCCTGTGGTTTATTTCACCACTTTCCCCTTCTGGGGGGTTGAAGGGGATCCTAAACCCCAAACCCGAACTGGCCATTGGAGAAACCTCAAAAGCCCTAACAGCCTTAGAGGCCTAAACCCTAAACCCTAAACCCCAAACCCCTAAACCCGAACTTCCCTGCCCCAAGTTCCAAGTACCATCGGGCCTCTGGTGGCCTCCAAACTGGGCTCTCCCAACGACCCGATAAGCCCTCCCCAAGCCCACCTAACCCGCGCTGCACTACTAAGCCCTATACCCTCCCAAGCCCTGAACCCCGAAAGCACCCAAACAACTCAACCCCTCAACCCCTCAACCATAACACCCCAAACCTCTCCAAACCCCACGAACTCTCCAAACCCCCCCAGGAAACCCCCCCGCCCCCCCCCCTCTGCACGGCGCCCTCGCGCAAGGTGCCCGAGGAGTGGGTGCGTCGAGTTGGCGAGGCCTTCCTCCGGCTGTTTCGGGCCCGGTTTTTGCTTAGTAGTAGAGTAGAGCGTGCTTTAACCTGTTTGGGTTTAGGGTTTAGGGATTAGGGGATAATCCCTTTATAATCCCAAAGGTTAACTTTCAGTTCCCCCAGGATACTGGACAACGAGGTTGGGGGGGGGGGGGGGGTTAGGGATGTTTTTTTTTTTTTTTTTTTTGGGGGGGGGGGAGGGGTTTAGGGTTGGTTGGGTTTCGGGGTTAAGGGCTTAGCAGCGTTTAGTGTTTCGGATTTAGGGTTTAGGGGCTTGGGTTTTAGGGCTGAGGGGTTTCAGGGGGTTCGAGGTTTAGGTCTGCGGTTGAGGGATTGGAGGTTTGCTTTGGGTTTAGGGCTCGGGGTTTAGGGCCGGGGGTTTGACTTAGGTATAAATATTTTGACTTTAGCTAAGGTTTCGGGTTTGGGGTTTGGGGTTCAGGGTTCAGGGTTCAGGGCTTATGGTTAAGGGGTACAGGGTTAAGTTTTTTGGGTTTGTCGTTTTGGGGTGTGGGAGGGTTTTGAGCAGGGTCCGGGTTTCAGGGCTGTTCTAGGAGTTGTGCTCGGATTTGTTTCTGTGCTCGGATTTGTTTTTGGTTTTGCGGTATGGGTTTTGAGATATGATCGGGTGGGGCTTGGGTGTTTTTAGATTTCGGCTTGGGTAGTAGGCGGGGGTTCAGGTGTGGGGGCTGGTGGGCTTAGGGTCTCCCCCTGGGCTTCGGGTTTCCTCAGGAGAAAAGAGCTAAAGGTTTAATGGTTTACGGGTATAGGGGTCTAAGGCTGCTGGTTAAGGGCTTATAAGGGTTGGTTTAGCGCTCAAGGGCTTGAGGACTGAAGGAATAAACGGTTCAGGGGGTTGAGGGCTTTCGGGTTTAAAGATTTAGGGGTCTGCGGGCTTATGGCTCCAGACCCCCTAACTTTTAGCGGTCAGGGGGTGCAAGGGTATAGGATTTCAGTACCAGACTCTGGGACTAAAATAGCTCAGTCTTGAGAGGATATGTTCCAGGGGGACCGCATGGAAATGGACAGAAGATACTCTCCCCGGCCTGTCACGGTTGCAGGCCCTTGCAAGGGACACCTGTGAGGTGGACAGGGCGCTCAAAGTTGACATGGACAACCTCTCCCTCATCGCTTCTTACCGACACTTTGACCCTAAACCCTAAACCCTAAACCCTAAACCCTAAACCCTAAACCCTAAACCCTAAAGAGGCTTCTACAGCACTCGCTTAAGGAGCTCCTGGTCTTGGCTCGGTCAGACATTGGCCCAGCGCACGGCCTGTGCCTCCAAGTGGCCTTCTGCCCACTGGCACTTCTTTTACTATTATTTCTTTTACTAATATTATTACAGTTACTATTACTACTATTATTATTAGTTCTATTACTATTACTATTTATTATTTTTATTGTTGTCATTATTATTACTATTATTATTACTTTCCCTGATGGCGTTTGGGGTGTTGTAAGGGTCCCTAAACAAAATCAAGGGTACCCCCCCCCCCCCCCTGTAGTCTTGAAGTTGCTGCAGGAGCTAGAGCAGTACACTCCTTAAAACCTTTAACGTCTGAAGCTCCAAACCCTAGAACCCAAATACAACCCTAAGATCCTAGAGTGGTTTGTCCCTTGCGCTTGTATATAGGGATCGGAAGTATGGGCCCTTACTATATAAGGTGTATATAAGCGTTATACAACAAGGAACCCAAATTAAGGGCCCATACTGGAACCCTAGAAAAAAGGGGATGACGAAAGGCCGAGTCACAGAAGCCGCCTTGTCTGCAGAGAAGTGTTGCTACACGCGGGTTCCAAACGATGCCCCGGCGTGGGCACGCAATCTTCTCTACCCGAAGCCTAAACTGCAAGCCCTAAACCCTAAACCCTGAAGCCTGAAGCCCGAACCCTGAAGCCCCCCCTCGACCAAGAATTGCCCTCGCAGATTTGCCCTTGCGCGCCGCGAGAAGCAGCTCCCTGGAGCTGCAACTGCAGGGGCTTTGGGGTTTAGGGCTTTTGGCGGTTTAGGGTATAGGAGTTTAGGGTTTCTAGGATTTAGGGCTTTTGGGGGCTCAGGGTTTGGGGTTTAGGGGATTACAGTTTCAGAGTTTCAGGGTTTTAGGGTTTGAGGTTTTGGGGCCCTTGGGGTTTGGCTGCCTTGGGGGTTTGGTCTAAAGCTTCGGGCTTACTTGCAAAGCTGAGCTGCCCAGAACAAGTTGCTCTTTTGCCCCCCAAAGTTATTACTCTACTGATGTTCAAGCCAGGGTTTAGGTTTTGGAGGTTGTAGGTTTTGTGCTTGGGGTTTAGAGTTTAGGCTTCTGGGGCTTATTGGGCTAGAAGGTTTAGAAGGGCTCCGGAGCTCTTATGGGATTTGCAAAGCCGCGGGTTATGGGGACTGAGAGGGTCTGTGCCATGGAATTATTATCTGTTTGGGGGGTTTTTCTAGACTCTTGAACCTAAACTCCACATGTGCAATTCTCTAGGTTATGGTCCCTGTTGGGGGTCCTTATGTTAACGGTGCCGTATACTCTACATAGGGGGGGCCCTAAACGGGGCCCGATTTTAGAGAGCTACCTACACGACAGGGCCTTTGGGGACTTTGTTTAAACCCGCGCTTTGCAGGCCTGGGGTTGAAGGGGGCTTAGGCTTCGGAGGCTTGATAGGGGCCACTAGGTTTTAGGGTTTAGGGTTTTGGGGGTTTGTAGGGAATTATGGGGCTTGAGAACCCTCCAGTGAGATCTATGTCTGGACCCTAAAAAAAAAATATATATATATATATATCTCTAAAAATGCTTAAAACCCTAAACCCTAAACCCTGAACTCCTAAAAACTGAAAACCCTAAACCCGAATCCCAAACCTTTTGAAAGCCCTCCAAAGAGATCGCGAGGTTCTGGCTTCGCTCCGCGAGACGCGCGACGTGGCGTGCGCCGTCAACCAGCTTTTGGACAGCGCCGCGGCTTGGGGTTTAGAGTTTCTATACGGCTTATACAGGGCTTTTGCAGGATTTGTAGGGTTTTGGGTTTATACAAGATCATATTATAGCGTGCAGGGTTTATGTATAGGGTTTTTGTTTGGAGTTCATGTAGAGTCTACATAGGGTCTATACAGGGTGTGTTTAGGCTTTTCCCCCCCTTATACTCCCCTCCCCCCCCGTTTAGACAAGCTCGGAGGTGCAGGGGGACGTCTCCTCCGTGTTCGTTGCGGGGGAGGGGTGGGTGGGTGGAGGGGTTACTTGTTGATAGGGGGATGCCTTGTTTTGGAGTGGGTGGGGTGGTAGAGTATCCAGAATGGGAAGTGTAAGAACTAAGAACTATGAGGTGTTTGAGAACTGGTACAACCCCCCTTATATAAATTCCTATGAACCTTCAAGTAGAGGAACCCTGTACAAACTTAGGCAAACCTCCCCTTTAAGGTACAATATAGGTTGCTAATAAGAGTACATCAAACGAAACCGCTCCGGCAATCAAGGCCTTTCCCCGGTGCCCAGAAAGCGGCCGCGCGTCGAGACCGCGAGTCCTGGCCAAAGAGGCATGTATGAGGGCGACACCACGATTTTGGACGGCAGATGAGTGTGTGTATAGTATATATATATACCTGTATATATATATATATATGTATGTGAATGTACAGGTGTGTATAGGTGTGTAGATCTAGAGCTGCTGGGGTGTTTTTTTGGTTTGGACCCAGTCAAAGTTGGCTATGCATGAAGCACGGCCCTGTAGATGTCTTCTTGACTTCGGCACCACCCCCCCCCCCCCCCCCCCCCCCCCTCCCCCCCCCCCCTTAAACCCTAAACCCTAAACCCCAAAGCCCTAAACCCTAAAAGGCCCTAAAACCCTAAAAGGCCCTAAAACCCTAAAAGGCCCTAAAGCCCTAGAAGGCCCTAAAACCCTAAACCCCAAGCCCTACAACCCTAAAACCCTCAGACCCTAAGCCATACTGAACCCTAAACCCTAAACCTTAAACCCTAAGCCCTAAACCCTAAGAAGCTGATTCCTAAACCCTAACTCTAAACCCTAAACCCTAAACCCTAAACCCTAAATTCTCCTGCTAGAACCTTGAGTTCCTCTGCGTGTTCGTCGGCAGGCCAGGAGCCGCTGGCGGAGACGGGTGCAAAGACCACCCATGACTCCCCTGCAGGCGCGAGGGGTTTAGGGTTTAGGGTTTAGGGTTTAGGGTTTAGGGTTTAGGGTTTAGGGTTTAGGGTTTAGGGTTTAGGGTTTAGGGTTTAGGGTTTAGGGTTTAGGGTTTAGGGTTTAGGGTTTGGGGTCAAGGGTTTCAGGGGTTTTAGGGTTTTAGGGTTTTAGGGTTTTAGGGTTTTAGGGTTTTAGGGTTTTGGGGTTTTGGGGTTTCAGGGTTTTAGGGTTTCAGGGTTTCAGGGTTTTGGGGTTTTAGGGTTTTAGGGTTTTAGGGTTTCAGGGTTTCAGGGTTTTAGGGTTTTAGGGTTTCAAGGGTTTAGGTGTTTTAGGGTTTTTAGGGTTTAAGGGTTTACGAACTTTAATTTCCAGAGTTTGACTGAGAACATTTTCCAAATGTTCACAACTATTAGTATGATGCTACCAGTAAGAAGTTTCGGCTTTAAACAATAATCTATGCTTTGCGGATGATGCTGATGATGATGTTGATGAGAACACGGTTTGCCTTCGTTTGGCTGTGAAGCATGAGGCTCTGGCTTCAAGTAGGGCCGAGGGTTTTGTCAGTCGTTGGATCTCTCTTAGAGCTCGCCCTTGCATCCTTCTAAAATCGCATGTTCCTTAACTCTATCCTGAAAGCTCCCTATTACGTAGAAGCCCCCAACCTGATCCCCTAAGCCTCAAACCCTGCGAAGCCCTAGTTGGCAAGCCTCCGAAACCCACCCTAAACCCAAGAAAGCCCGAGAACCAATCCACAAGCACACAACATCGTCCGAGCGCCTCGATGTAGCCCCGCATCACTACACTCACCCTAAACCCTAAACCCTAAACCCCAAACCCTAAAACCTAAACTCCGAACCGTTTTTCTCCCAAAACCCGGAGGAAAGGCGCTGCCGGGCTGGGGGTCGCTCCGGGCCCCGACTGCGCGCGACATGCCGCTCGGGTGCGTGCGCTTTTTTTTGGTGTGGTGTTCGGACCATAGGTGCCCTGTTTTGTTTAGGGTTTAGGGGGTTTAGGGTTTACGGGGTTTAGGGCTTAGGGCTTAGGATTTAGGGTGGGAGTCGGGTGTACTCCTGGTTTTAGGGTTCGGGGCCTCAGGTGCTTAGTTGGCGTTTAGAGTTATCTTGCGAGGGCTTAGGGGCTGGTTAGGGCTCTAGGGCTATTGGCATGTTCTACAGAGGTTTGGGGTTGGCTTTCTGTCTTTGCTTCGCACCATTGGGTTCCAGGTTGAAAGGAAACTCGGGTGATCGAGCTTGCTTCTACTCAGGGTATAGTAGTATGCAGGGTGTCCTTGCTGGTCCACAGGATGATAAACTTCAAGAAGTCCTCATGGCAGGAGAGTGACAGCTAAGATCAGGAGTGCTGGTGGCTAGCGAAGTGCTACATCAACTTTCCTACAGAGAGAGTGCTTGATCTTCACAGTCTCTGGACAACTATGCTGAACCTTGCAAACCGTAAAACCCCAAAAACGTAAACCCTGGAACCCCTAACCCTAAGCCCAACCCTGAGCCCTAAGCCGTAAGGAAGATTCGGCGGGGACCGGGGTCGCCGCTGCAGCCGAAGCCCTTTGAGTATCTCGTGGCTTGGAGATACACATGAGAGTATAATACATGTGGGGACCGTATGTGTACATGTATATTCATACAAATAAAAATGACAAAAATGTGTATGTATATATATATATGTAGGTATAAACCTACATGGAAGGTAGAAAATCAAAACAACATATCCATATAGCAATGTACAGCAACTAAATAAACATATGCATATATATATATATAGAGAGAGAGAGAGACAGAGGAGAGCGAGCGAGTCAGAGTAATGAGACCAATATGTGCTTGCAATCTGTGGGGCTCACCTGCGATCACGTGAGGAGTCCAAGGTGCTGGATGCGCTTCTGTCATGGGTTCCCCCGCTACCGCCCTCTATACTACCCCTTCCCTAGGCTCCCCCGATAATTTTAACTTGGGGAACAATTGAGGAACTTAGGGGGGGGGGGTAGTAAAGATTGGGGTAGTAGGGAAACCCCTGATTCTGGTTTAGGCGAAGCAAGGGTTCTTATAAGGGCTCTCGGCATTTCGGAAACCTACATCTCCCTGGATCCAGGGAGCTTGCGCCACGCGAAAGCTTGAAGGTTCATGGGTTCTTACAAGGAGGGTTGTAGAAGGGCACTAGTTTTTTGCCGGCGATATGAGAAAGTTACCTGGTTTGTAACCCTACTTCTCACAACACGTGAACCTTCAAGAGGACTGCGAGTCCTTGCTTGCACCGTTGTCTTTCAGGCTCGGGCTTCTGAGCCGCTGATCGGAAGCCGAAGCCCGGCGAACCCTATAAGCCCTCATGAGCCCGAAAAGCCCTCAAAGCCTTAGACTCCTACCCGAAAAGCCCTAGAAGCCTTTTATGCCTAGAGGCCCCCAGAGTCCTGCATGAGGTGGTATTGGACTTCGAGTGGACTGCCGACAACCGGAGGCCGGTGAAGCCCATCAGCGCTCCGGGCTGCAGCGATTGCCGGTGGTTTTCATAAAAAGGCTTTGGAATTCACTGATTGGGATGCAGATACGAGGGTGTGAGGAGATGAGGGTATGAGGCATGAGGGTAGGGTTTGTGTGTAGTTGGCATACGCCGGCATTTTTTTGCATTTCCCTTGCGACAGTTGTCAGCCAGTGCTGCCAGAGACTGGGGACATTGCAGGCAGCAGCTACTAGACTAGAGCCACGAATCAGCGCACACTATGTGGACCCGAACAAACAGGATGCTGTAGGCAGCACAACCCGCATATACCTTTGTCATAGTTGGGTACCATTGTACATTTTAAGGGTACTTAAATTCAACAAGGAATATAGATTTAAGGTTTCAAAATTATCCCAACCATGAACTAGATACTATGTCCAAGGGAAGCCGCCTCACTTTCTGACAAGGTGAGATCACGCAGTTTCCCTCCGTGCTGGTGCGGCTGGCGGGCCACAAGAGCACCGTCATCGACGAGCTGCTCGGAGCACTAAACCTCTAAACCCAAAACCCGTAACTACCCTAAACTAAACCCTAAGCCCTAAACCCTGAACCCTGAACCCTAAGGTTCAGTGCCCCAGCAGGGTTTGGGCTTCTACATGGCTCCCACGTGAATGTGTTGGGGAAGTACTACTACCTCACATGGTGTTGGAAGCTGCGGTTTAGGGTTCAGGGTGTAGGGTGTAGGCTTTGGGGCTTCAGGGTTTTGCTGCAAGATGCTGGCGTGCAGGTTCAACGCCTATGTGCGCCCGACTCTCAATCCAATCCTGCCCCAGTTCTCTATCGAGACAAAGCCGCAGACAGCACATGCACAGGGGGCTGCATCGCATGTTGGCCGTTCAAGTCTACATAGTAGGCTTTGGAATCTTCAAGACTGTACCCATCGCGTGCATGGGAGCCAGTGTTCAGCCCGGGGTTAGGGATCTGCCAAGGATCTCACGGGCATCACGCAAGACACGGTGGATAAAGCCGCCCCGCTGGAGGACTTGGTATTAATCGTGTTTTGCGTTGTGAGCTGGGACTGAAGCATTTGGAGCTGACGACCTTGACGCTGAGAATCGCTTTCCAGGCATTGGATGTTGAACAGCGGTGCTTAAGCGCGTGTCGAAGCTAGATACCTGCTGAAGGCTGTGTGACTTCCCTGCTTAGTTGCGCTTCTGTCGTCGCCTCGGAGGAAGTGCTTCCTCAATACCTGGAGTGCCTCTGCTATTTTTTGGGAGAGACAGCCATTGCGGGCTTGTGCCACGGCGTGGCATTCCAAGACTGTCAGCAACCTGCTCGCTCAGAAGCTACCAGTTCTAGCACGATCGTTAAACTGACATGTACCAGGAGGTAAGGTTCCAACATTCTCTGCTGTAGCAGCACCCAACACGCAACGCTTAACCTGAAACTCTATAAGTGCCTCGATAGTTCGACCCACCAGCTAGAGCCGTGCCCTCACCCTGTGACACAAGCGAGCTTATACTGTTTGATTACTCCGCTAGCCGACGTAGTGAACACGACACTTGTCGGCACTCGTTTATATCTGCATGCTAAACAAGAGGCCCCGTAGCTCGAAACTTTCGGCCCGGGGATGTATACCCCATAGACCCTGTAGATCCTTTAGGCCGTATATACCCTATAAGCCATATAAAGCCCAATGAGCCTATAAACCCTGAAGCCCTACAACTCAAAACCGTCAACAGCCAGGTGGCTGAGATCCCATGGCCTGGTTTCCGAGGATGGAAGGCGACAAGGTGCCTCTTTTAGCGGTTTAAGGTTTTCGGGTTCAAGGTTCAGGGCCCTGCAGCCTCATATATATAGATATATATATATATATACATATTTATGGGACAGGTATCATACACGAGTTGATGAGCTGTGTCTGAAAAGCCGAAATGTGGCGTTCTAGAGATAGCTATAGAAACATTAGTCTAAGAAGTCCCAGACCGCCCCCACGACGTGCAGGCCACTGGGCCATTTGCACCTGGACCGATGCTGACATCGGTGCGCAGCTGGTGCGCGAGCTGAGCTTCAAGGACCAACGGTTAAATTGGTTTCTGAGTGTCGTTCGGGGTGTGGGAGGGAAAGCGTTGCAGACAAAGAATCGCATCCAGCTTGAACATGTTGAGTTTTCGAGGGCACCGTATTTCAACATCATTTATACGGGGTAAGAAGGTCTGAGCTGATATCAGCGCTCAGAATGTTATGCCGAACCTGGGCTTCCTGCTTTGGTTCTGCAAAAATCGGGCTGCTGGCCCTGTAGCCGAAGGCATGGCATACCTTGTGATCACGCGGGCTTTCACGAGCCTTGCTCGGGCTCAGAGCGTAAGAGAGGGAGCGAGAACCGGGTGGGTGCCTTGATGCTGGGGCAGCGAATGCAGAAACTTTGGATAAATCCTTGGTGGACCAGGCCGACTCTTGCCAGACAATGGCGCTCAGCTCTTACCTTGAATGCGGCACAGTTTGCGCACATTCTGGAGGCCAGCCCGACCCCGACGGAGGCGGCGTACATGGATGATCCGCTGGCCAAGATGACCGTGGCACAGAGGGGCAGGATATTTCAAAGAGTGTCATTGCATGCTTTGGCTGCCATGCGGCCTAAAAGCAAGTTCTCGAAGGCGCCTGCAGGACTGTGCTTGAACGGGCAGAGGAGGAACCGGCATCAGAGCGAGCATGACTTGAAATGCGACGGCCGCAATGTGGAGTGCAAGGGCACGACCATGCGCTGGGACACCTTTTCGCAGAGATGGGATGCTATGTGGTTGGGCATCAAGTTTCACCAAAAAGTGGGCTCGATTGATGACCTAGTCTTGTCTCTTCACTCTCCGGGCAGAGTTGATGTGCTCTTGCACGATCTCACATCTTACGTTTCGCATCACGGAGTGCGAACGCGCAGCCGAGGGCACTCGGTGTGCGTGAATGCGGGGCAGGGGCTTGTGGATCCCGCACAAGCTTGCGAGAACATTCGGCGCAAACTTCTGTCGGCGGGAGCAAGTCTGCAGATGGCCACGTGGGATACGCACAGCGCTCTGGTAGCAGAATTCATCCATGAAGAGTCCAAGTCCGAAGCTGCTGAGATGTTTACGATCTGCTACCGAGATGTTCCCCTGTCTCAGAAAACGCCGACATCAAGGGCTCTTTGTTTGCAAAGGTTGGCTTTCGAAGTGGATCACTATCTGCATCCACGAAGCAGCTTGCAATATGGCTTTGGAAAAGCAGACCTTGTGGGAGTGAAAGTGCTCATGCGCCGTGGCCCGGCAAGGGCCAGGGCCGATTGGCTGCGTGACAACGTCAGGGTCGAATTCAAGAGCTCGAAGCTCTCATGGAACCGCGCCAATTCCTGTTGGTTGGTATGCTTTGCGGGAATCAAATACGCACACGCATCCGAAGGCGGCTCCGCAGCATATGACGATCTGTTGCTTGGAATCTACAGCCCGCTGGGCTTGCATTTGTTGCGGTATGCTGGCAACGTTGGATTGTCAACACAAGGTGTCGGCACAACAATAGAAGGTTATCATAGAATTGTCGTGCAAGGACCAAGCAGGGAAGAGGACATTGCAGCTGCCTTACAAGTCATACTTGGCAAACTCAAGGCGGGAGGCTGCGAAGCGTTGGCCATGATTCGATGGTGATGGGCTTGGTTAATTAACCAGACCCTTGACAAGATGGTCAGCAGGAGAAGACTTCATGGTGAGATCTTTAGCTCAAAAGCCGACCTTTGCGTGTTATTACCAATTCGATTCGTGGTGCAGACCAGCTTGGAACGAAACCGCCGCAGGAAGGCAAGCCAAGCACAACCAGGCAATGGAACTTTCCAGGTTGTCTTAGCACGGCAGCCCCTCTCACTAGGGAAAGATATGGAACCTGGGGGCACCCTTCAGCTCAAGCACAAAAACTCCCCCTGAATGCAGCTTGGGAGGGACAGACCGAAAGAGGGCCTCCTGTTCTGTCAAAAGAGCTTTAGGCTGCCCTCTGTTCCTCTGGAATCTTCCCCATACACCCTAAAACCTTAAATCCCTGAACCCGGGCCCTAAACCTAGGCCCTAAACCGCAAACCGCAGGGAACATCACAGAGGCATCTTGAGAACTCGATGCCAGGCTCTCTAAACACACACTTGAGAACCCCACACTGCGCCGGGGTCCTGCTGGAATGCCCGCCATCGGTGTGGCAATTATGGAGTTAAGGGGCACCAGCATTCACGCACCCCTGTATCCCGGTTTGGGGTTTGGGGCTTCCCCCCTGCCCTTCCTTCCCGCCCCCCCCTCCTCCTTGGTTCACCCTGAACCCTTAACTTAAACCCCAAAATTCTTGCAGTACGCTGTTTTTTCTGCGAGGGCGTGCCGCTGCCTTGCTGCTTCGATCAGTGGGTCGACCTCAAAGTGATGCGCCTTGGCTCCCATTCTTCCCTGTGGGAGACTCCCCGTGAAGGTCTCGGTGGTCCCCAAGGTTCGCAGGAGCCTGGTTCTCGTCACCTAGAATATTTGGAGCTGCATTTGCTGTGTTGGTCTTCGTGTTGGGGTTGGCTGCCGTCTGGAGACAATTCAACTTGGCTCACGAATTCGGACTCGCACTAGACTTCAGAGGGACCAGAAGCTCCTATGGAAACCTTTCCGAGCTTGTGCTGCGGCTGAGGTTTCAACGCCACTACCGGCGAGAGCCCAGAGGTGAGGTTCTGTAGAACAGAAGCGGTTGAAAACGTGCATGGCTCTGGAACTTGGGGGTGTGTTATGTTTGAGGGGCACTACGGGACCTTGAATAGAGGGGCTGAGAACATCCCGGGATCGAATTGTGAGTAGGCCACAAGCGGGCTACGTTAGTTTTCTTCGTGGGCACCTCTCCCCTTTTCTACCGGTAGCCTTCCAGACGAAGGCACCGCTCCAGTTTCCCTATTTGGCTGGGTGCGTGACTAGCAGCGTAAACTTCTCGAGTGCCACAAGCGTGAACTCATGCATCAATTACCAGGGATGTTCATAGCACAGGAGACCACATCGGAGTCGAAGTGAGCCGAATCCAAAGTTCCAAAGTAGGATGCCAGAGCCAGCCCAGCAAATTATATTGGGAGTTCGGTTTTTGCACTTGTCTGCTTGCGTGCTTTTCAATTGGTGCATGTATTTCCACGCAGATTAACCGGCGCTCTCTGCCCATAACCTGGCAAGCCCTGTCCCTAAGCCATAGCCCTAAACCCTAAACCCTAAACCCTAAACCCTAAACACTAAACCCTAAACCCTAAACCCTAAACCCTCAAGATGAAGATAACTAGTTAAAAAAGGATCCGAAGATCTTATAAAACCCCCTCGGCCAAAGAGAGATCCAAAGTTCTTATACAATAAACCCGGCCCTACTTGAAGCCAGAGCCTTATGCTTGACAGCCAAACGAACGCAAACCGTGTTCTCATCATTACCATCATCAGCATGATCCGCAAAAGCCTAGATTATTGTTTGAAGCCGAAAAGCGGCCTTCTTCTTACTAGTTGCATAAAACCAGTAGATGTGAACATTCGACAATGTTCCCAATCATATTCTTGGTAGTGAAAAATGTTCAACGCTAGACCCTAAACCCTGAAACCCTAAAACCCGAAAACCCTGAAACCCTAAAACCCTGAAACCCTAAAACCCTAAAACCCTGAAACCCTGAGACCCTGAAACCCTAAAACCCTAAACCCTAAAAACCCTAAAACCCCTAAAACCCTGAAACCCTAAAACCCTGAAACCCTAAAACCCTAAAACCCTGAAACCCTGAAACCCTGAAACCCTAAAACCCTAAAACCCTAAACCCTAAAACCCTAAAACCCCTAAAACCCTGAAACCCTAAAACCCTAAAACCCTGAAACCCTAAAACCCTGAAACCCTGAAACCCTGAAACCCTCAAACCCTGAAACCCTGAAACCCTAAAACCCTAAAACCCTAAAACCCTGAAACCCTAACACCCTGAAACCCTTGACCCCAAACCCTAAACCCTAAACCCTAAAACCCTGAAACCCTAAAACCCTAAACCCTAAACCCTAAACCCTAAACCCTAAACCCTAAACCCTAAACCCTAAACCCTTTCCCACGTCTCCAGGCGGCCTGCAGAAGTGTGTGGAAAGCCTTGGCTTGACCTTCGAGGCACATGGCAAGAAAGAGAATAATTATGCCATGTGTGGTCGGAGAGCCTTATAGATTATGGAGTATTGGCTGTGTGTGGAGCTTAGCTACTGATACTGTATATTGTCTAAGCCACCATTAGGACGCCTGATTGGCGTAGCACTCAGCCTGACAAGCAGAACAGTACTCTCACGAGAAAAGTCTGTAAGCTTTTGCAGCTCCCGTCTTCACTCCCATGTCCCACTGCGCCCTTGTGTTAATGTTTGGCATTCATTGAACTGCTCATCTTGTCGACCAGGGCCGGGCCCATGACGGCCTCATCGACTGCCGAAATACCGCCGCCATCGCTCCGCGGCTGCACGGGAGAAGCATCGAGCTGCTCCAAAGATCTTCAAATTATGATCATGGTTGATGCGCATCTTGAGGCAGAGTGCTTCAGTACTTGCATCGACAAGGCATGCAGCTACGTACAGGTTCGACCTTTGTAAGTGTTGAAGGCACTCGACATGTTCACTATGGAGTAATAGAGGCAGGAAGCTATGACACGGAGTCAGTATACTTGCCCGGAAGCGTGCAACTTCAGCCAGCGAGGGTCCTGTCATCCACTCCGAACAGTGTTTCCTTTAGCGCTCGCCGCAGGTCACATGAGTGGAAACTTCTGCTCCCAGGTGCTTCACATGGCCAAGGGATCCATGCTCTACGGCGCCTTCACGTTTCGCCGACCGACGCGAGGCCTGAAGACTTAAGGGCTGCAGTGTGCCTGACTCGAAATAAACAGCGCTGCCAAACCCTCATTGCCAAACCCATGCCATCCCAGGGTCCCATGATGCATGAGATGCGTTGCAGTTCAATCACATCGAGAGCTACACATCGGCGCGAATATGTGGATCCAACTGACTCGCCACAGAATCCCCTTGGGGCTATAGGGTTTAGGGTTTAGATTCTTTGTAAGTAAACTCAGCCCCGAGGCCTCGACAGAGAAGGCAACGTCTTCGGCAGCGCCGCGCATCGCGCGGCGCAGCAACGCCGTGCGGCGGAGCAGAGAAAAGGTCGCAGAGATTGCGTGCAAGTGCTCAATCAAAGACCATGTGGGAGATTTCTCATAATTAAAGTTAGTGTAACTTTTGCCTTGACTTGATGTCATGTGGCTGCTTGGTGTCCTTTGCGTGCACAATTACATCACGCGACATCCTTGTGTCAATGAACATAGGATGAAGGCAACAGTTCCAGTCTTCGTCCCACCAACCTGCATAGATCCCATGCCCTTGCACGCACTCCTACAGCAGCAAGGGCGGTGCCACACACCAAAAGCCCCCAAACCCGCTTTTAACCCATTGCATTAAAACACTAGAGACACGAAACCGCTGCTGAGGCCCTGACTCAGTTCTCACAGCTCTTCCCGAACATCAGAATGGAGGCCCTTCAAGCCAAAGGTTGTCATTGTACGGTTCGGGGTTTGCAGGGTTGCCGCTGTGGGCGAGCTAATTGAGGGTATGGCTGGGGTTTTCAAGCACAGAGATCCTTACATGAGTTCTACAAAGGCAAACCTTGAGCTTTCCTACCAAAGTGGACACAGTTTAGGGCTGAGGGATTTTCCGTTAGCGTTTTATTTCAGGGTCGCAAGGCGGGCGGTGCGACTCCCCTGACACAGGTCGCTGGAGCCACAACCTGGAACACCAAACCCGACACAGAAGCCCTAAAAACCCGAAAAGCCTCAACTTCCCGTAAACTCCACGTAGAGCGGCCTAGTCGCATCCTCAACCTCTAACTATACCCTGACACCCCTCAAAAAAAAACAGATGCAGCGCCTTGGGTGCGCTCCAGGTCTCTCTCGGGAGGATGCCGATGCGTCAGGGATGGCAGAAGGAGCGGCGATGGGTTCCGAATCAGGGTCCCTTTCGGGTCCTCCTTTGGTTTTTCTCACCTTCCTCAGCAGCTACATGAACCAACCCAGAAGTGCTGTCAGATTACAACTTGAGAGCAGGGCTTTTTACAGTATTTGTGCAATTTCTGTCGCAGCATCCCTACGTTGAGGCACAATCTGCAGGCGCAAGGGGGGGGGGGTGGTTGGGCCCGTACAGTGACGCCGCCTGACTGAGGAGGTCAGCAGGGGTCGGGCCTTGCGCCCACCCCCCCCCCCCCCCACCCCCGTGACCTTAAATCCCTAAGATACCGAAAAGAATGTTGTCACCTCCAGAAAGGTTGTAAACAGATCCCGCAGACTCCAAGCAGTTAGCTTTCGGGACAATCAAACGCTGTGCACCGTCATGGTCATGACAAAATGCTCATACCGACTTCTCCCCTCTGGGTTTCCAGCTCCGGTGACTCGAAAATCGGGAAGCCAAACTTGGTTCCCAATTTTCCTTACCCAGTGACATGCACGGGCTCAGATGAACAAGACGTCGTGCCCGTCAAGTGCAAGAACGTGAACAAGCCATCTGCGCTAAATGTCTCTGCAAACGATGAACAAGGCTTGCCCGGGCTGGCAATGCCAGACATGACCGCGAAGACGATTGCCGTCTGGCAATTGTAGACAAGTGGCCACCT